ATCCCTTGGTGGCTCCACGTGTCCTCCTGGGGGGAGGGGAGGGGCAGTGGGGGGTGGGGGGGGGTGAGTTGCAGCGGCCATAGATGACCCAGCATTCACTGCTGAGTCGACGCGTCTTTTTGTGAGTTTCCGTGTTTAGGTGGCTAGGAAATGTTAACCACCTCGCTGGTTTTTTTTCATGCATTTTTTTCTGTTGCGCGCAGTCACTTTAAGGTGGTTTTCTTGTTCACGTTTTTTTTTCTTTGTTGCGATTGGACCCGATTCAAGAGCCACATGGCTCATAGGGCTTTACCTAAAAAATGAACTAAATGAAAATTAAATTTTGATTTAAAGCGTTCGTGACTGCAGTAATTCATATTGATGACCGTTTGAGTTATGGTCGAAACGTCGTGAGAATTTTTTATTGTTTTATATATATTTCATTATTTTGTTGTTTCTCTTCAACGTGACTTTACCGAAAAAACTAAGAATATGAATTACTGTAGTCACGAAAGCTTTAAATCAAAATGTAATCGCCTCTACGGGGAGGGTTTTCACATAACTTTAAGATCCTTCAACAAACTCTGGGATAAGAAAGCTCAGCTGATCGAGTCTCTCACCTTCCTGAAGAGATGCCGCGACTCTGGGGTAATACAAATCGCATTTACACTGACCTCTGCTGCTGTAACTTCTTCTAATGCGAAACGAATTCTTTTCAAAACTAGCTTAGCTCTTATCTCAGAAAAAATCAGACTTATACGCACAGAACTAGATCAGTTAGACAAGACACTCTACAAATCACACTTATCATTGACGGCAATAATGTCCACATCGGATTGGGAACATGTAGACAATATGACTGCCTCTTCAGCTGCTACTATGTCGACCAAATGTAAGGAAAACCTGATTTCCAAATTTAACCTCCTCTTCAACAAAAGACCGGACCCACACACCAAAAAGTTAGACGTTAATAAAGTCGTTATTAATCGCAGTAACAGTTCTATTTCCGATGGTCTGAAATCCGTTTTAGCTAAAGGTCTAAACTTTGCAGTCACACCTAGACACATACCAGTTAATGATATAATTGCCCAAGTAGACGTTGCTCTCAGGGGCCTGGGTCACATCGCTGCAGACGTAGCAAGATCTGAAATCGCTGCAACCCTCAAAAACGCTAAGATGCCAGCTAGCAACCTTAGCAAAGATGAGCGTTTTGAATTATATAAATTAAAAAAGAGGAATAATATTGTAGTCCTCTCAGCTGACAAAGGCAATGCTACTGTCATCATGGATAAAATAGAATACAACAACAAAATTAAAGAATTACTCGACGATGGTAGTTATACAAAAATAAAAAGAGATCCCACCAACAGCCTCGTCACACAAACCAACAAAATAATTTCTGATTCAACCGCATCAATTGATCAATCTAAACAGTTTTCGTTGAAACCTTCTGCTGCCAGGCCACCAAGATTATACGGCTTACCAAAAATACATAAAGTAGATACACCTCTTCGTCCCATAGTCTCTACTATCAGCTCCCCCACCTACAAACTAGCTCGTTTTTTGTCTGAAATCCTGCGTCCTTTCACTGGAAAGACCACCTCTGCGGTACAAAATTCTACTCACCTGGTATCGACAATCAAGGGTATTTCCCTGTCCCCAGACGACCTGCTTGTCAGTTTTGATGTAGTTTCCTTATTCACCAAGGTTCCTGTACCTGACACCATTGCAATCATTGAAGACTTGGTTCATCAAGGACTAAACACTGAGGTACCCCCCCTGGTGAGACACTGTTTAACCAATACATACTTCACTTGGAATGGAACTTTCTACAAACAAACTGAGGGCACCCCAATGGGCTCCCCCCTTTCTCCAGTTATAGCTAACATTTTCATGGAGAAATTTGAGACTGACGCCATCCAGACTGCCACTCTGCACCCAACCTTATGGAAGAGGTACGTGGATGACACTTTTGTCATCTGGCCACATGGCCGGCCTGCTCTCGACCAATTCTTCGACCACATCAATTCCATACACCCAGCCATCAGATTTACCATGGAAGTCGAAATAGATGGCAAGATACCTTTTTTGGATGTCCTAATTAAAAAGAGACCTGATGGTTCAATGAGCCACTCTGTCTACAGGAAAGTTACCCATACGGATGCTTATCTGAAACCGGATTCCCACCACCATCCATCACAGAAGAATTCTCTCATCAAGACTCTGTATCTTAGAGCCCAATGCATATCCGACCAGGAACACATAAGCAGTGAACTCAAGCACGTACACCAAGCTCTTAGGGCTAATGGTTACTCCGACTATACAATCCGCAAAGCTATCACTCAAATCATGAAGAAGAACCCTCTTGAGGAGCCTTTCAAAACCATCACTTTACCCTACATTGCTGGGATCACAAAAAAGATCTCCAAAATCATGAATAAACACAAGATCCAGGTCCGTTTCAACACATTACATAAAATCCGTGATCTGGTTCCGTCTGTAAAAGATGTGATTCCGGACATACAATACCCTGGTGTCTACAAACTAAGTTGCCTCTGTGGTAGTAGTTACATTGGAGAAACCAAACGCCATGTCTCGGACCGCATTCGTGAACACAAAGCAGACCTTAAACACGGTAGGACCAACACCTCGGCCATAGCAGATCAGTGTTCTAATTCAGTAGGCTCACATGCCATTGACTTTTCCAAGACAGAGGTTCTTTGTAAGCCATCTGGCTTCCATGAGAGATTCGTTCATGAGGCTATCCACATATACAAGCACAAAGACAATTTCAACCGAGAAGATGGATTCTATCTTAGCAATCATTGGAAAGATTTGATAAACCATTTCAGTTCTTAATTGATTGTTCACGCTTACAGTGGCTTTCAGACAGCATACATTATAAAAAAATTTCGTCTCCCCGCTCCTCTTTTCAGAATATAGATGGACTAGTCCTGGGCAAACTGCCAAATCGCTGCGCGTGGTGCTAACGTTTTTTTTATAAGTAAATAAATGCGCCGTTTAAAAATAAATTTATGCAAACCAACACCCCTGAAGATGACCGTTTGAGTTATGGTCGAAACGTCGTGAGAATTTTTATTGTTTTATATATATTTTATTATTTTGTTGTTTCTCTTCAACGTGACTTTACCGAAAAAACTAAGAATATAATATAAATTAAAATTGTATGCAGGAGGTCGTGGGTTCGATCCCGACCCTGATGATGCCTGCTTCTGTATATTTGGAGTCTGCGTCTCTCTCCCCGTGGGGATGTTGACTACCTCGCCTGGTATACAGGAGGTCGTGGGTTCGATCCCGACCCTGATGATGCCTGCTGCTGTATATTTGGAGTCTGCGTCTCTCTCCCCGTGGAGATGTTGACTACCTCGCCTGGTATACAGGAGGTCGTGGGTTCGATCCCGACCCTGATGATGCCTGCTGCTGTATATTTGGAGTCTGCGTCTCTCTCCCCGTGGGGATGTTGACTACCTCGCCTGGTATACAGGAGGTCGTGGGTTCGATCCCGACCCTGATGATGCCTGCTGCTGTATATTTGGAGTCTGCGTCTCTCTCCCCGTGGGGATGTTGACTACCTCGCCTGGTATGCAGGAGGTCGTGGGTTCGATCCCGACCCTGATGATGCCTGCTGCTGTATATTTGGAGTCTGCATCTCTCTCCCCGTGGAGATGTTAACCACCTCGCCTGGTATACAGGAGGTCGTGGGTTCGATCCCGACCCTGATGATGCCTGCTGCTGTACATTTGGAGTCTGTGTCTCTCTCCCCCTGGAGATGTTAACCACCTCGCCGGGTATGCAGGAGGTCGTGGGTTCGATCCCGACCCTGATGATGCCTGCTGCTGTATATTTGGAGTCTGCGTCTCTCTCCCCGTGGGGATGTTGACTACCTCGCCTGGTATACAGGAGGTCGTGGGTTTGATCCCGACCCTGATGATGCCTGCTGCTGTATATTTGGAGTCTGCGTCTCTCTCCCCGTGGGGATCGAGGTAACCACCTCGCCTGGTATACACGAGGTCGTGGGTTCGATCCCGACCCTGATGATGCCTGCTGCTGTATATTTGGAGTCTGCGTATCTCTCCCCGTGGGGATGTTGACTACCTCGCCTGATATACAGGAGGTCGTGGGTTCGATCCCGACCCTGATGACGCCTGCTGCTGCCTATTTGGAGTTTGGGTGTCTCTCTCTCCCCGTGGTGGTCAATGCGTGGATTTTCTATTCGGCTTCACTGCGGTTTTTCCCCTCCCACGTTTCGAATCAACATCGCCCACGCGTTCAGAGCTATTTGGCTGCGGCTATAAATGTCCACGCGATAATTGACTATATTGGCCACTTCGCTAGGCTGCGATCATGTCGTGAAGGCCGGCGTAATGGCTCACCTTGGCGCCGTTAAACATGCCACCACTCGATACAGCCAATTAGTAAGGTTTGTCGCGGAGACAGAACATGCCAGCCAATTCGTTGCTCGTGTAGTGACATAGAATGGGGCACTAAGGCGCGTAGTAGTGTAGTGTACAGTAGTGTAGTCTACAGAAGTGTGTCATTAACAGTGACGTGCGGTGAGGTCAATGGCTGGGGAGGAACTGCCTTGTGTCAGAGCCAGATTCACACACTGAGGGGGTCTACAAACATTACATTGGTGACGTACTGAGATAGTAACAGGCACGCGCGTATTGCCCGCGCTCCATCCAGTTACTGAGGGGTTGCGCAATCAGAGGGGAGGCTGAGCTCGTCTCTGCCTCACCTCTCGTCTCAACCTGTATTTGCAGCGGAGCTCCGCAAATTTGGCGATATTTGCTATAAAAAAAGGATTGGAATCGTACGGAAATGACATTTATAACACAGATCAGTGGTAAAAAAAAAATCGTAATATTTATTGTATTTGACAATTCTATTTTTTTTGCCCTTTTCGTAACAGATATTTTATCCTGGTCATTAAACCCGCCACCACACGACACGGCCACTTAGTAAAGGGGTTTGTAGTGTAAACAGGTGCAAGGGAATGCCAGACTCACGCATCCCCGCACACCTTACCAGGATGCAAAAAAGTTTGCGTCGCATCTTGGCCGCCATGCTCTCGGTCGTGTCAAGCCACGTGAGCGTGCGTCTACTTGCTTCCACGTATTCCGCCAGACACTCCTCCACCTCCGCCCTCCCCACGACCCCCATTCGGAAGCTGTTGGACACGTGCTTAAGGCCACGGAGCCCACGGTGGTCTCCCTCTCTGTCTCTATCGTAGATTCGCGAGAAGTGCATCATCAGCGTGTGGCCCTGTTCCTCCAGGAGATTTTTGAGCCAAGGATTCAGCTTCGACGAACAGTTGGCGCACGGACTCCACGACATGTACCACGTCATTGCGTACACGCCTGGATTGCTCTCCAAATGGCGGTCGATCATCGACATCAGGATCAGTTCGGCATGGCAGACGTTGGGATTATTTATGATGTACCCCCACAGACGTCGGCTCCGGCCCCCCGCACTCTGAGGCTTGACGTCGAATATCACGTACGTCCGGTGCCTCTCCGTGGCGTAGTGCAAATTTTCAAATTGAAATTCGAACGTGTCGAAGTCCAACTTCTCGGAGACTCGCACGCACTCGTAGCCTGCCATGTCCGCTGGACTCGAAGATCACCAAAAACTCGAACGCGGACTTTAACTGCTCGCCCGCCCGCCGATGTCGACTCTCAACACCATCCCCCATTACTCATAAATAGCCGATCCCGTTTCAACCACCCCCGCCCCCACCCACGTGTACATGGGGGGTCACGTCACTAGGTTCGGTTTTAATAATATAATCACTTCCCCATCCTGCGTGCATGTTAACTGACAGGTGAACGGGACGCAGAAAGAGATGGCATAACTCGATTAACAGCATGTGCAGCAACTCATGCAGAGACCCACAGACTCAAACAGAGACGCATAGACTCACCACACGCAGGTCAAACACGAGCGTGCCAATCGTGTTTGACCTTCGTCGAACAATGGTCACGGAAGAGATAAGAACGGAACCCCCCCCCGCCGCCACCCCTACCAAAAATGCACCTCTTGATCAGTTTGCATTCACGCCATTGAAGAGCCCTCCCGGCTGGCTTTGTCTCCCAAATTTTTGCACATGTCACCGGGCACCACCATAACCAGAATCACAAAATTGTATTCATACCGCAGAAGGAATCCGATGAGCTATGAAGCTTTTTTTTAGCACGGGGGTCAGAAGGTCACACCAACGACAACACCAACAAAGAATGCAACCACACTATACACTACACTATACACTACACTATACACTACTACACTATACACTATACACTACACTATACACTTCTACACTACTACACTACACTATACACTACTACACTATACACTACACTATACACCACACTATACACTACACTACTATACACTACACTACTATACATTACACTATACACTATACTATACATTACACTATACACTACTACACTACACTATACACTACACTACTATACATTACACTATACACTATACTATACACTACACTATACACTACTACACTATACACTACACTATACACTACTATACACTACACTATACACTATACTATACACTACACTATACACTATACACTACTAAACTACTACACTACACTATACACTACACTATACACTACACTTTACACTACACTACACTACTATACACACACTATACACTACTATACACCACATTATTCACTACACTACTATACACTACAATATATACTACCCCAGTTCAACGTCGCGTGAAGGGGAAAATAGGCAGGTCAGTGATATTGGGCAGGTAAGGCCCAATGAGCTATGTAGCGATCACAAGTGAGGATTGCTCAACAAAGTGGCTGATGTCATCATCATCATCATCATCGCGTGGGACTGTATCGCAGTAACCAAATACTCTAAACGCGTGCTGACGTTGATTCTACATGTGGATGGTGAAAGCTGGAGGGTCCGGAAAAACTAAAATCCACGCAGCGACTACCGCGGGGAGAGAGAAAGAGAGACGCAGACTCCAAATATACAGCAGCAGCAGGCGTCGTCAGGGTCGGGATCGAACCTACGACCTTCTGTATACCAGGCGAGGTAGTTAACATCTCCACGGGGTAGAAAGAGAGACACGCACACTGCAAATATACAGCAGCAGGCGTCGTCAGGGTCGGGATCGAACCTACGATCTTCTGTACACCAGGCAAGGTAGTTAACATCTCCACGGGGTAGAAAGAGAGATATACGCAGACTCAAAATATACAGTAGCAGCAGCAGGCACCATCAGGCTCGGGATCGAACTGCCACCTCCTGCATACCAGGCGATGTTGTTAACATCTCCTAGCCACGGTGACGATGGTGATGATGATGATGACAGAGAAAGAGAGACACGCAAACTCCAAATACAAAACAACGGGCGTCGTCGGGGTACGGGGATCGAACCCACGGCCCCCTGCATACCATGCGAGTTAGTTAGCACGCTATCAACAGACAGATGTGTGTAGTGAGTTCAACTGAGTCGCAGACATACTCTTTGGAGGCAACACATTTATTAACACCAACACACACGGGGGTAACTGCCCCTTAACAGAATAACAAAGCTATGGTGGTGACCACCAGGCTAACTGCACTAATTTACACCGTAACTAGCTACAACGGACCGGACCACAGCTTGGGTCCCGGTCCTACGTGTTGGAGACTCTTGTAGAACGTTAGAATTCTTCAGGATGAACAACAGCAGCCGCTCCCTCTGGGGGGGATCCGGTTTATATCCTCACGGGTCGTGGCTGTCTCCGCGCTTGGCCACGACCCACCTTCCAGAATCCTCGAGCAGGATCTCGACCCAGACCACGTGACCACCCCTAGCCCCCACTTGTTGGACGTAGAACACAGACGGAGTTTTCTGCAAGGATGAACAACAGCAGCCTGTCCCTCTGTGGGGGGACCCGGCTTATATCCTCCATGGTCGTGGCTGGCTCCGCCACCATGGCCACGACCCACCTTCCAGAATCCTCCAGCAGGATCTCGACCCTGACACGTGACCACCCCTAGCCCCCACTTGTTGGACGTAGAACACAGACGGAGTTTTCTGCAAGGATGAACAACAGCAGCCTGTCCCTCTGTGGGGGGACCCGGCTTATATCCTCCATGGTCGTGGCTGGCTCCGCCCCATGGCCACGACCGCCTTCGAGAATCCTCCAGCAGGATCTCGACCCAGACCACGTGACCACCCCTAGCCCCCACTTGTTGGACGTAGAACACAGACGGAGTTTTCTGCAAGGATCAACAACAGCAGCCTGTCCCTCTGCGGGGGGACCCGGCTTATATCCTCCATGGTCGTGGCTGGCTCCGCCACCATGGCCACGACCCACCTTCCAGAATCCTCGAGCAGGATCTCGACCCAGACCACGTGACCACCCCTAACCCCCCCCCCCCCCCCACTTGAGGGGCCCCTGTGTAGACTTAACCGGTCACGTGTCATCCGGGGTCAACCAGAGTGCCACGGCCCATAGCGTCCCCCCATTCCCCGCGGCCGGCACTCTCACACCCCTATCGTTTTAGGGGCCGCCACTGAACGCCAAACGTGGTGCCATGCAAAACCGCTATCGACCAGTGCCTCGCCGAGCGCCTGCAGGGCCGGCACAGCACCCACATTCTTTGTGGTGCCCGCGATGTCGTCACACCGCACTCCGTGACTCTCCGGGGCCGGCGTGGCACCGTGACATCCCGCGATGTCACTGCAGGTGCAGGGACGTGCGGGATGTAAGAAAGAGCGTCACATTTTGACAAGAGGCCCTTGACACGGCCATTATCACGACAGCATCCTCGACGAACGCGCCCTTTGAATTACACTAATTTGAGGCTGAGTCGACCTAGGGGAGGCTCAAGAGCGGTGCATTTGCAAAATGTTGATACTCCTACTGATGCTCCTGATGCTGTTGTGGAGTGACTCATGCAGCCCAGCTATGGCTGCAGGGTTTTGGTGGTGCGTGTTGTTTATGTCTTTCATTGTGAAATTTCGGTCACAGTTCCTATGATCAATGTTAAATTGCTGATGGCTTTATTTTGGGTGATTTCGAAAACGTTTTTTGGTTTTGGTCATGTTTGTTTTTGTTGTAGTGCGGAGTTAGAATGATGGCTTTAATCTAAGTTGTCTTATGGTTGTTGTTGTTGTTTGACTTGCATCCCACTGGGATGTTTGCAGAGCGTTCGTGTACGGTGCTATTTCAGGAATATTTTGATGTTTTTTTTTTTCCCTGGATTTTCTGTTTTCACAGTCACATAGTCACTTTAAGATGTTTTCTTGTTCATGTTTTTGTTTTTTTGTTTGTTGCCCGTTGCACCCGATTCAAGAGCCGAATGGCTCACAGGGCTATACCAAATAAATGAAACTGAAACTAAACTGAAATGAAAAACTGGTTCGGAAAAAAGGGAAAAAAGTCACTTGGTGTTGGCCGTGAGCGGGAATCGAACTCGGGTCGCCGGGTTCATCGCGCGGCGTAGCGCTAACTACTACACCACCGCTCCCCCCCACGCACACACTGACACAAAGAAAAAAACAAAGATCCCCCGTATAGCCTTAACAGACTGTAGGGGCAAGTTCTGTTAGCGAGCACCTATGAAGGCCGGAACGGTACACGAGGGGGTGGGTGGCCAGCACCACGCCCGACCGCCTTTGTCTCCCCAGTCGCGATGTTTACACACTGTACCAGGTACTCATTTGAGGCTGAGTCGACCTAGGGGAGGCCCGGGACCGGTTCAGATAATCGTCACTGGTGTTGGCCGTGAGCGGGAATCGAACCCGGGTCGCCAGGTTCATAGCGCAGCGTAGCGCTAACCGCTACACTATCGCTCCCCACTGACACACACCCACACAGACACCCACCCACAGACACACACAGACACCCACACCATTCGCCATTCACCACGACGTTTGTGCCAGGCTAGGCGCACGTTCAAGCCACGTGAAGTGTCGAACGCTCGTTGGCAGGAGGTCACGGACCTCCTGCAAGATGACCATGCGGATGCAACACCAGCTGTACCCCCCTGCTGTGCCAACTCGCTGCTTTTTGTCCGCCCGGCGCTCCGCTCGTTGTTGTGAGCGTCGCTCCTCTGACTCTCCGTTGTTATTTCCGGACGGGCGATTGCATCCGATTGCCCCAGCAGCAGCGTTCTCAACGTGCACCTAGCCTGGCACTCCCCAGTAGCAGCGTCCTTCACGAGCCTCCTCCACCTCCACAGAGGCCGATCTTGATTCTGCTGGGAGCGGTCATCGTCAATTGAATTACACACAGACACACACACGGGCACACGGTCATACACACACGGGTGGTCACGCACGCAGTGTAGTGTATAGTGTAGTGTATAGTAGTGTAATATATAGTAGTGTAGTGTATAGTGTATTGTATAGTGGGTAGTAGCATAATAATTAGTAGTGGAGTGTTTAGTGTGGTGTATAGTGTAGTGTATAGTGGGTCGTTTGTATTTTAGCGTATAGTAGTCTAGTGTATAGTAGTGAGGTGTGTATTGTAGTGTCTCTTAGTTTAGTGCATAGTAGTCTCGTGAATAGTGTAGTGCATAGCAGTGTAGAATGCATTGTGGTGAATGATAGTGTAGTAT